AGAGAGCCAGGCGTCCTAACATTACCCCAACGAGTCAGTCTCAATTAGTACCAACTCCCTTCTCTTTCCCATAAGTAAAAACATTGTCGACAGCATGCCTGCTTCAGCTTCGGTATAGTGTGTTACGCCTAGCAGTTTGTTATCGGTACAGGAGACCTTAAGCTGCAGTATACCAACCATAGTGAGGAACCAGGTAACATACGCATCAGTTGCCGCCAAGAAAACACCGGAAATAGCACCAGTAACTTTGGTGACCGGACTACAGAAAACTAGAATCTCGCAGCACGGATGACTCTCATCAGCGCCGCTCATAAATTCATCAAAAGTACCGGCAAATAAAGCTCCAAAACCAGTAACCACCAGGCGCAACCATGGTGCCTTAAATCTAGTGTACACTAATGTCCCCGAATCCAAATCCAATACAATTAGGGGTTGGCTGACAGACGATCGGAATCAAAGAAGTTCCATCTGTACGGCAATCGGTGTCCAAGCTGATCCCACGACATTAAAATGCATCTCGCGTCACCCAAACGCATTGCACTACGGTGAACCCCGGTTACTTCGGGTAACACTGAACTCAGTGAGTGGGACAGAGGCCGTTCTGCTGTCTGCGAATCGTCTCCGCAGCGCCTCAACTGGAGTGCGCATACTAGCTGAAATCTCGTGGAAAGAACGTGCAGCGGACCACATAACAGGGAGAGGAACAGAAAAAGTCAAGATAAGCAAACCGTGGCTGCTCACGGTGTTGCTAAGCTTACTGATTCCTCTTCTGACGAAGTGCAGGTACACGACCGGGAGCAATGGCACTACATCCTTGAGGCTCTTTCTCTCAAAAATGTCATGGCCACCTCGTTGACAAGGATCTCCTTATCATCGAAGTATAAGGGGTGCGGTCCCAGGCTGTTGAAACTGGTGTTGCAATTAAAATTAAGGTCACAAACTCTTCTAGAGAACTGGACTAAGTTCCGTAGCTGGTTGCCAACAGAAATTCGTCTGAAAACATCAGGACCAGCGCGACCTTCTAATGAGAACTCAGTAGAGGCGCAACTGTCAGTGAAAACACCAACTGTAAGACCTGACTCGGTTACAATTTCAACAGTAGCTATAACATCCGGAGAGACACAGCAGAGCACGAGCGAACACCGGGGTCCGGGGTATCTGATACTTGAATATATACCTAATTCGTCTCTAGAGTCTGCAACCCATCAAAAAAAGGAATTGCCACAGACCTTACATCGGCCGGCGTAAATTCACTTTCTTCATCCATTTCACCCAATACACTTTTAGTCTCCGAGAAGCTCTCATGCATTTACACAAATGCCCAAGTTCTAGTTAGCCATCATCTTAACTCTGTGAGGGTATGCTTTCTCCTACAATAAAGTGAAAGATTGGTGCTAAGCGAGTAGGGCATCTTTTATCTGAAACGATGTAGGCAACAACTTCCCTCGGATGGCTGAAGCGTCCATCGATAGAACTGGGTACATGCCGGTGAAGTAATCTGTGGGATAGGGATGTGCCGAATGCTACCCTTTGTATTGTCTTCTCGATGAATTCGATCAAAATATTGTAACCTCTGTTGTATGCTCAAATGGGTGAAACATAAAGGATGCTGACAAAACGAAACTACATTTCGGGACATGAATAAGATGTTGTCGTCATGAGCTTACGTTGCTTTCGGATGCAGAGGAGAAATGGCAATGGAGCACACTCAAATATGTGCACACCACAGGAATTCCTTTGTAGTGTACCTTTAACATTTTACTACACAACCTTCCGGTCAGTGGATATCTGGATAATCCTTTGCAACCCACAGACACCAATCTTCTACTCGCACATTGCTGACGATAGCAAACATGCAAGAATGGAGCAGCACAGTTACAAGCGCAAATTACACAGCTACATAAACGCACACACAATTACATACTTACATTCCCCCTGCACAAACAAGCACTGTTATGGCAAACATATCGGATTTTTTCAAATTCTTGATCACGCATTGTTTTGTCAAAATGATCATGCCTGTAAAGGTGTGCCTCGCCTTGTCGAGAATAAAAGTTTTATTTTATTTTATTTATTTATTTTATTTAGCTGACAACATCATCAGCTGTATCGACTATTATTTCAAACACCTCATACCCTTCATCAATGACCAACATTCCTTTTGAATCGCCGGCTGACTCTAGACCACTTCGTGTACAACATCTGGGAGCCCCAAAATACAATCATGGGAATACACGTTTTCAATCCCTTTTGGAATCCAAGAATGACGGGTTATTAATCCAGGGACTTCGCAACCTAAAAGCGTTACCACAATACGTGTTGACCAAAATACTATAAGTGGAGACGATAAGTGGATACGATACCTTCACATATGCACACGAATAGTGATTAGTACCTTTGACTCAAAATCTCAGGCGCAAATAAACTCGAGCTACCACCGATACCCATATACAATATATACGGACATGTGCTCCCAAATCGAACACGATTAACATGTCATCTACGAGAGCACAAGGAGCCAATGTAAGGAAGGTAAAAGGTAATTTAAATGTATACACGCTATTGCAGCTCGAGAAATTTGCTTTCAGTAACGTTAACAAACCACATTGACAAAAACGCTACTGTGGCATCTCAAATCGTTACGGCAGTAAAACAAAACTTGTCCAATGAGTATATGTTGTCGTATATTTGGGTTAATACCCGCTGGATGGGATGGGGATTAGTGCGCTCGATTCCAGCGTTGACACGTGTCAACTCTCCCGATCCCACGCGACTAATTGTTCTAAGAACGCCGATTGTTCTCGGTTGAGAAAAAAATGCATGATTTTCATGATAGTGCCAGGTGTAAGCAGTGTTTTCAGCTTGGAACGGGTTACAACTTAATAGTCAGATCATGTAAGACAGAAGGTTATCTTTCTTTTCGTCTGTTATCAATGAAGCGAGCAGTAAAGAAATTTAATCCGATCTCGAACCATTCTTGTCTCCCACCTGCACAGAACCCATCTTATTCCTTCGGCAGTACACTGATCATGGGATGCAGGAACTTTGTCTTAGGTGTAACAACAGAGATGGCTCATGGCCGATACTTAGCATCACGCGTCTCGTCGCTGCCCACAGCCTCACGGATAAGTACATCTGGAGACCGGTGCTCCCAAGCTTGTGTACTTGCATCCACTAGCATGTGATGAAATGAACATACTATCGTCGTCCTGAAAAGTGTGTTTGAATTACCGCGGCGCTCATTTGGAAACTGATGGGTTATGTTTGCCTAACAAAACGTTCCCTTAGTGAGCATAATCCTCCTAAAAAATATTTGATCGTAACACAGTTTGTGTACCTTATCTTGTGGTAGAAAACAAGCTAGGGAAGTTTGATCACTCGTTTTGCAGCTACGATCAGTAATTCAAGTTTAATCATGTCAATCGTGCAAATTCGCGAAGGAGTTTACCATCACAAGTACCTTAAGAAGCTATGTAGGTTAGTGGCAACAAATCCAATTCGGGACTTTCTCACCTTGTGGAAAAACAAAGAATCTCTTAGTGAGAAGCTTGTTACAAAGCTAAAATTGTCACGTGTCTGGTAGACAAACAAGGTCCCCCCTCTCTGGATCATTGAACTTGGTGCGTAAATTTTGACGGATGTCTCTACCGAAGAGCACCAGTTGCTGTATTGCGGTCACTTGTATGATGCTAACCATTATCAATCAGTAGTCCTGAACTGAATGACATCAAACAGTTACATGATACCACACATTTCGCATGCATTTAAAAACCAAGTTTGTGGCCGGTAGCGTAGTGCCCGAATTATTATTGTGAATTTCACCATAGCTCGTGTCTCTTATCATATTACCTGTTGTTTCACATGCACATCTAATCTACACGCATAACTAGAAAGATTAGACGGAGCAGCATGTATCGGTATAAGTATTTGGAAAACGAACCGATAGACGACAAGGTGCCGGCAGACAAAGTGACCCATCTCCTATAACCAATGCTCACTAGTGTGAGCAATTGGCACTAGAAACAAAAGTTACCTTGAACAGGTAGTCAGGCGTCCTGTTTATTTTTCGTAATTGGAACCCGGTGTTGGCATAGTTTGAACATTTCTCGTAATCGTTCGTCGGCTAGTAACAAATTTGTTTGTTTGTAGGTTGGCTAGAGGATAGCGCATGTGTTATACCTTCCGATTACCTAGTTCTTACTGCTTCAAAAGATTATAAACACTACAGATCTATGTGAAAAGTGAAAGGAATAAGGATCTTACAATATACCATCAAAGAATAGTGGATTCATTAATTATGAACCAGATATAGTTCAATTGAAAACGTGTGATAGATTGTGGGATTATTCCATAAGCTACAGAGATGGTTTCCGTACTTAGTATTGTTATTTTAAAGAAGGAAGGAGGTTTGCTCAAACGTAGATTGCTGAGGTGTTCCTGTTCGCTTGTCGGTATAAGGATCAAGGCGTTAGTTAGGTGGAATACTAGTCATCCCTGGAACCGTAAACTGAACTGGCCGAACTTGAACTGTAGACTAACTGCTTCGACAGGTGATATATATATATATATATATATATATATATATATATATGCAACAGTCTACGAATAGACATAGAGCCATCAGAAACCATGGGACTCAAAAGAAGGTCCAGAAATGGTAAACGAAAACACAGGTGACGTTAAAGATAAACGCATTGGCATGAAAGTGAGGTAAGACCATTACCTCGTTCTGTTTTATCTGTCAAGCACACCAACCACCATCACGCTTCTGTTGCAGATTTAACATAGTATCTACTTTGCCGTTACAGTAGCGTTTAGAGTGTGTCTTGCAGAACCTTTCACCAATAAATTACTATTTAGAAACTTAGACCAGTTATATAAGTGAAGACCGACCCTGGAATTCAGCACGCCGCTGCATCAAGTTCACTATGAAATGTCGCATTCCAATGTTTCGCGATATGCGGACAGGGGTGCAGCAAAAAGCAAAAGTGTATGCTCACCTGGGCAAATTGAATGTTGTTGGGAAGAGCAGTAACGAAGAGCACTTGGGATAAGTGACACACATGTGTCTAATCGCTCGAAGCAGCCCATCCTTTCTGGTAATATCCGTCTGCCTACCAAGTGGCGCTGGATGGTGATTGACACGCTGAGAAGTTTTGAGCTGAACATGTAGTCAAAAATAGAGCAATGTTAGATGAAACTATCGAACTAAACATATATGCATACATACTGAGCTCAATAAGCAGTGCACGCTTACCAAAGCGAGTTCACATTCTCTGAACCGGAAGCCCTTCCACCACAGATCCCACTGATTCTCGCTGTGGTGCTCCGGATCGAACTCGGACATGCCTGCTTCCAGAAATGTTCTTCTCAAAAGTGAAGGGCCATTTCCCTGACCATAGGTGATGCGGAACACAAGGGATGGTTGGATGGAAGAAGAGTTGTTTGCAATTGACCTCCTGTTATGTTTATCCTTTTTTCTAGCCGAACCCACACAGGGGGATCCAGGTTTGTGTATCATCCTAGGCAACTTCTTCGCCCTGTGAAGGCAGACAAAACAATGTGATATATTGTGTAGACATCAATAAGGACATTAAAATAGAGGAACTTAGGTTTGTTTCAAATATTTCGTGGTCCAGTTTACCAAGCAGAATATTTTTTATTACCCATACGACGTCCATTATAAGGAATTGGTTTCGCCATCTTTCTGCTGCAAGCAAGAAAATCATAGATTTTAATGACGACAGTGCGACAGATAGAACCGACACCTGCCGCAA